AATGAAACTTTCTAAATTAATTAATTGGGGGTTTTATTGATGATTTAGCCCCCCCCCCCCCAACTCTCTAATACGCTCCGCGGGCCCTGTCTCTACATAATTGTGCATTTCAATATAACTATCCCATGCTCTTTCATCCGAAATAATCATTGTTTTATCTTCAAACTCCGAGTTTATCCGCCGTATAGCGATTTAAACGGTCTCAAGAGACCCGGTTTAAGTTTACACGGTGGTAGGCGAAATTTAAACGGTGGATAGCCCTAAACGGGCTTCGTACAACGCGATTTCTCGAGCGTTTAAATTTTATCCGGCGGATAGCGAGTTAAACGGTGGATAGCGACTTAAACGCCTTTCGTACAACCGGCCCTAGTTAATTTACATGAATTTAAAAGCCTGAATATCTCGTCGTATTATAGCAGAACTATATGACTTACAAAAAGTGTGTACCTACACCACTAGGCACTAATGAAACTTCATCTTTTATGTAGTTTCAATTAGATTCAATGAAACGTATCCTCAAAAATTGACCCAATTGTCAAACCAAAGCTGAATCTATATGAAGTTTTCAATGAATCTAAATCTATGACAATGACTATGATTATGAAGTTTTCAATGTCCTCACGGCTCACGCGTTATGGAGCTGTCCACGGTTAAATTCTCTTCTTACCCCAGTCCCGCTCAACGCTCCAAAATTCCAAATATAGACATCCCCACATAATGCATATATGCGAGCCATGAAAGAATGCGAGCTATTACAAAGTCTGAATATTTAATTATTATGCCAGACTGATTTATACCGTACAAATCTAGAAATATTAACCAAAATTTTATTTTACATATCAAACTTTACGTGAACAAAAAGTCTTCTCGTATTTCACGATTTCATATTATGTCAAGCGTCTGTAATACGAATTGGTGCGCGTGCGAACGTTTTGTAATGTCTGAATGATAATAATTGATTTACATGAAGCTTTCCCTAGTTGCCCCCCCGCCCTCCGCCTAGTGTACGCCACTACTTGCTGTTACTTCTTCTTACTCCCTTTCTTACTTGACGAGAAATTGTGCGCTTGTTTATTCGCACCGCGTTCAGTTGATTGCCTCGCTGACTGGAGCTCGCACTTTATGCTGGCCCGATCGAACGAGTGTTGCTAGAAAACAGACAATGTTGGCAGTAAGCAATATTGATTATTGTTTTAGTTCACTGCATACACCTCGTCATGCTTCTAATTAAAAGAGCTATACAGTTCTTTCAAATAACGTTACTAAGTAGGAGTGTGAAAGAAACCTTTAGAGGTTTTACACTGAGTTCCAGCTTTCCCTCCTCCGGTGTGTCAATCTTTATTTTTTAAACTGAACTGCTGTTACTGCATGTTATTTATTGGTAATTATCGAATATAGTATATTTAACAAATAGATACGATTTTGCCGTTGTCTGTTCAGTTATAGATACACAGTATGACGTCACAATGTGGGAAGAACAAAAAGTGGCTCGCGAGCCGCCGAAGCGAGTGGGTCACTTTCTTATTCCACCCAAACATTTGGAAATTTGAAAAAGTCGAAAATTTACAAATATCACGCTTATACATGATCTATACAAATAAGGGAATGCTATTGGCTACCTTAATTGTGACGCAATTCCGTGCGTCTTCTAATAAAATCATGGCTACAGTCAAAACATATGCTACAGTCTTTGCTACAAAAGACAGTTAAAGTAAATACCATTTCGAACTTGCGTAAAAATGTCAATTACCTTTCCAGTAGGCATGATAGGTCATATGACATAGTTCGATACGGAACACAATATAGGTGTCAGATTTGTGTGTGTGATTAAGTGCAGTGCAAGGTAAAAATAAACTTTGTGTACATTTCCACATACTGTACGTATATATGCTGAAGGCTTGACCGTCAACCGTTCTTGGGTTTATTTCGCGCGGTAAAATATTACGTCATGAAAGGCTTGCTTAGGTCAATTCATAAAACAAAGTTTACATGTTTACAGTTTGAACATTCTCCCACAAGGTAATGTTGGGACAGTTGAGTTATGAAAATTCTTGAATTTAATTGTTAACCGACTCGAGAAGTACAACGTCCTATAAATAGAATGCACAAAGATCCCCTGGACTCAGCTCAACTCTAGTCAAACTGAACAAGACAGGACAAGAAGACAGACAACAACGACAACGTAGTAACTAGCTCGAGTAAGAGAACGATAAAAATATTAGGACTTCAAAAAAACTTATACTTCAACGATATATACAGTTCTCATGCAATATAAAAATAAAATAATGTAAAATCCTCGTTAGCTAGCATGCACTATACACTGTAGTACGATAGTATGAAGGCACATATCTTCAATTAAACCTAAAGCCGTCTTCAGTAAAAGACTCCAATTTTTTATGCTTACTAGACACTTAGTTCCTTTCCCATATTTGGATTTTAAGTGATTTGGAGTGTGTTAACTTTAGGTTTTCAGTTCCTCAAAAAGCGTGAGAATTAAGGCGTATTGCATGTCATGATAGTAACATTACAATATATTCAAAACAGTCGGCACCACATTTTGAATGGCCGTATATATTAAATAATTTAATCTCTTTATTTTCTCCATTTTGATTAAGATGCCGGCGAGTATACAGCAGAAGAATCAATTGAAATATCGGCCAGCGGGAACTGTTCAACGAGCTGTTCGGAAAATGTTCCGCGGTTGTCAAATGTATTTTCATTTGTGTCGCGAATAATAGAAGGAATACATATGGCTTGTCAAAGAGGAGCAGCACCAGGCCTTTTTAAATGAATATTTTGGCCTTGGCATAACAATATAAACGTCATTACATAGACGCTTCCTTATATAACCTATAGAGATATCAGTATACCAGAATATAATTACAATTTCACCTAAAATAGAGTGTGTATAGTAAATCAAGAATAGCTGAACTATGTAATAAATATAATATATAAAGGATAATAAACTGTGAGCTACGTAAATCTATTTTGAGCATTCCTAGTTTCATTTTTACATTCTTAATTGATCAACTCCATCCAAAATGGCGGCGGTGACGTTACAGCTTGCACAATACAAGCAAGAGTTTGACTAATGGTCGCGGGTCGCGTGTAAAATGTCGCGGGTAAAAAGTCGCGAGTCGTTAATTAAAAAGCTCCAAACCGTGTATTTTATTGAGTCGCGGGTTGAATCACGTTATCATTTAGTAAACAACTATATAGGATTGCTTCAATACGAAACATTGCCCGAGAGCCTTTTGTCATGATTTAATGGTTCTATATAAGAGGGTCCTGAAGGGGTAAAATGGGAACTGGGATTGATCTATTTTTAGACTGGGAAAATGGGATTTGGGTTGCTGGGACTGGGATTTGGCCACTGGGAATGGGAAATGAAGTTCTCAAAAATGGGAATGGGATTGAAGTAATGCGAGTCGATTCCCAATTTTGATCATTTTTGATCATGAATTTTAAAATTTTCC